ACTGTAAGAAGTCTCGTAAATCAAATCATGTATAATGTGACACATTTTCAAAAACACAAATATGGTAGTATGAAAGGGACAGTATAATTCAGTCACTGGAGATACTAGATAGCACATTTTGAAGGGAGGAAATGGGTATCTGTGTCTTCCAGGCAAACTTCTATTCTAAGCAATACTCATGTGGTCACATCTTTCTTGTGATTAGGAATCAAGAAAATAGTATCAGCTGTTTCCCTGCTAAATTATGGAGACATGCATTGTATTGATTTTTTTCATAATTAACAACAACAAAAAAAGGAGCAGTAATAAGATAATTGTGTATAAAAGAAACACCATTCCAAACCCCAGTCTCTCTACAAAATCTTCTAAGACATTCTAAAGGTTATGTGGTTTACTTTTATATAGTAAGTGGGCATGTGAATAAGGAGGAGTGGAAACTGTCAATTCAAGCATCTCCAGACTCATTTCCTACATGTGCATTGAAGAAAGGGAAAAAAGAAGAAAATAAAGCACTTGATGGCAATAATTAATGGAGAAAGTCTCCCGATTTGCTGCTTGAACCAATCAAAGATGGTAAGATTATGATCATATTAGTAACAAACAAAGCACATGAAAATATATCTTGAATGCCAGTAAGAGACTGATTTCAGTAAAACAAGCCTCTGTTTATCACATTTTTACTGATAACATCTTGAAGATGGCAAGCTCTCAATTTCGATTTTGTCTTGTAGGTCTGTACAAGAAAATCTTTAGTCTTCTTTGTTGCTTCTGTACAATTTCATACCTGTATCACCAATCTGGTATTTGTGGAATGATGCAGAAATAGTCTTTGCAACATAGTTTTTAAACACATGCAAAAGTGTCAGTTCAAATCCTTTCACAGAAATTTACCTACAGGAGATATAACAAAAAACTGCATAGTCATATCATTTAAAGTACTGTGGAAACTTTATCCAGTAACATGTACTAGTCTAGTCTCAAAGTAAAAAGGTATTTTCTTTTTTACTCTGCCAGTACTCTTTTGCTTAGCAAATACATAGTTGATTGATAGACAGAAACAAGCACTTTTCACAATAAGTAAAAACAGATGCATTACTTAAGAAAGGAATGCAGCTCGAGTCAGAATCATCTCTTGCGTAGTTCAAAATCCAGCACTGTACAATATATTTGTCCTTGCCCATTGTGTGCAGATGTTTCTGGATGACAGCATGTCAGAATATCTTTTCATATTCGAGATACGAAGTTCGGTACAAGTATGACAATAATTACAAGCTTTCATTGGTAATTGCTCATCAAAAATTATAAGCATTCATTCCCATACCTCTTAAAATATCTGATTTTGTTGTGCTTAGGGAAGAAACACATTTCAAAGTGATAAAGGGTTTTCAGCTTCCAGGATATCATGACAAGGAAAAACAAGTCTAAATTCTGAGAGTATCCAAACATACTGCATCCCTATCAGCAAAGTATCCCCTCTCCTAGTCTGCTTTCCAGATGAAGTTCTCAGGTTTAAATGTTGACTCCTGGCACAGACTTTTATTTTCTCATCTTTTGATCTGCTGATAAAATACATTACAAATAAATTACCTATATTCTGTATCCTATAATCAATTTGAATCACACATTGTTTTCAGCTGTTTGTAACAGGAAAGACAAAGAAAATATGACCTCTTTCTTTTACACTATTACTTTGGACAGAGTCATATTTCCTGAGTCAGAATCTAGTTTATGTACTAAGAACTAAATTCAAGTCAGCATTCAGTTATTTCGATGTCTTAATACCTGACAAAATGCAGTTCCTTGAGCAGAACTGCCATGATCCAAATGGTAAAGCTGCCGTTAATTCAGATAGAGATTTGTTTAATTGTGGAACTTAAGGGACTTGCCTGTCCTCTGGGAATATCTGAAAACCTGATGTTGTTTTTTATATTAAAAAGAAGAAATCCGAAGTATAATAGCCAACATCCATCTATATTTAAAATTTCCAGTCTTGTATCTCAGCTGTATACAAGTCTGCTATCCTCTCAAAATAACTGAAAATATTATTGAGAGTCTTACTCTTCATGCACAGACACACATTAGAAAAAAATCTTACAATTCAATATATAAATTGATCCCAAGGTAGGGAAAGTCAAAGAATTTCAGGTTAATTTCAGGTATATTGCTGCACACTTGATCTAGGGTTTTGGCTTTTGCTCTACACCATCAGTTACTGGCTTACTACTAAACACTGGATTAGGTGGAACAGTGATTTGTTCTAGTATTTATTCTGAATGCTTTTATACATAATCTACTTTTGAAAAGGCATTCTCCAGTTTTAGGTGTGGTACATACAGCAGTGGCATAAGGCATTAATGCAGTTCAGACCAAAAAGTGTTTTCATGAAGCAGCATGTTGTGGCAATAGTAGAACGAAGTCTTCCGCTTTCTATACAGAAGCAGATGAGAAGAGAACCTGGACCTATGTAACTCATTTTCTTCCCATTGTGTTTGCCCATTAACCAGCTGAAGTGCACACTTCCCATGCTGTTCCATTCATACAGCCTAGCGTTCATTCAGAAACAGAATGTTTCCTCCAGTTGACGAGTTAAAGGCAGGAGAGGGGGAGGAGTGTAAAAATGTTTGGAGATGTGCAGGACTTCAGGAACAACTTTTTAAGGTTAATTTATACTAAAAGTTAGTAATATATTTCTTTTTACACAATTTCCAAAGAAAACAGGTGCTGCCTCTTAAATCAGCAAAAACTAACTTTTAAAAGAAGTAAAACCTAAAGCAGTTTTTTGTGCAGTTGCTGAGAAATTAATGTCAGGTTACTTTTAAAATCAAACATATTACACTTCCAATACAGTATAAAAACTAAGCAAACAGACTTTTTTGCTCTGCCTTGACTAACCTAGCATCATAGCTGAAATACGAACCTAGGAATGTGTATTAGTGACCCTAAAAAAACAGCAAGTAAACTCTGTAAGCAACTTTAAAGGTTATTGTTTGCTTTTCATCTTCATTTGCAGACCAGGTGTCTCTAGCAAAGCAAATCTGAGGAAAAGCTACTTTTGTTGGAGTCTCTTTGTGAACAAAACAGATGACATAAAGAGCAGGTGTTAAAATAGTGAAAAAGGCAAACAGCAGTTATTTAACAGGATGTTTAGCTGTGGAAGAGCAAGGGGGGTGGAACGGTCTATTCTAAAATGTCTTTGGAACTCTTTGCTCAAATAAAAGAAACATTTCTCTATCTAGTAAAACGTAATCATGCCTTTAGATTGCCCAAAGAATGAATTAGATATAGTTATCCTGTTCCTCTTGTAACTGATTTCCCAGGGACTGACAGGAAAAGGCATAGCTTTTACTAAATAAGGATGCTGGAATTTTCTTACTGGTTTCTGTTTACCTGATGCCACTTATGATACTGTGTTTGTCTCCTTAAGAGGCATTTAGCACTGGAGTCTTGTGTGTGATTTCGTTATTTATATTAGGAAATTGCTTAGCAGCTGTGTAGATAGACGGCTTTACTTTGTGTGGGTTTCATCCTGCATTACACATCTGTTAATGTTGGTCTTAACATTACAATAGTGAGCATTGTAAATTGATAAGTAGAAAGGTAAGTAAGTATGTGGAGGGAAGTATGTTTGCCTGTGAGATTAAAAAACCAAAAGCCACTGATCTGTCATTATTTGGGTGTCTAAATTAAGCATCCTAAACCCATAAAGACAGGTCACACTTCAGCCTTCAAGTGTATGCCTTGTGGATTTAAGCTTCAAGATTCATCTTCAGGTGGATGAAAACCCTGTCCTTTCTGCTTTACAGTGTGACTTCTGTTTCTTACACAAATTCTCCAGCAGGTTTCTTTGGTTGTATCTTGCTAGTTCTGTGACTTTGTAACTCATGAGAGAGGTGAACCCTAATGCAAAATCATCTTATAGTCATGTAAGAAGTGGCTACCGGTTGCAGAGAATTGCGAATTCTCTCCATTAGCAACAAATATATCTTACTTTATGAAAAAGCCCTTATGACATCACTGAAGCACTTATTTGGAGGTACTATGTCAACCACCCGGTTAAGTCCTCAAAATAGTCATTGCTTAGAAGATAAGCATATTGGTATGAAACATAAACACTCATAAATTTACCATGCCATTAAGCTATATTTTCACGCTTTCTCAGGTATCAGTGAAATAAAGGTTTCTTAAAACCTAGTGAACCATATAGCATTTAGAATCAAAGTGCTTTCTATAAAGTGTGGAATAGTGATCAGGTGTATTCTCCAGTAATATTAAGAATGTATGCAGTATAATTTTTTTTCTCTGTTTCAAACATAGTTTTACAAATGTTTCCACTTTGGCAATAAACATGTCATTTTCCCTTAGTTGCAATAGAGTTGCATTAAAGGAAGCTATGTGGCATCTGTGACACCTTTTCCAGAATATTTTTCCCTCCAAGATTGTGTATTTGAGTGGAAATGTTACAGGATGCAAAGGATATCCGCTAATGAACTTTCTTGAAATTCCATCACTTTACTGGGCTCACTTCACTGCAAGTCAGACTTGCAGTTTTTAGTTAGAGTTACAGTTCCATATCCGTGGGACCCAATATGTTGATTTCTGCATGCCAGTTTAGAAATCATGTTTCAAATAACATTCTTCAGACATGCCTCTGATAAAGGTGCATTCTGTCTTCTTTAAAGAGAGATAAAATAGGCCTCATCAGTTAATTATAAATTAGTAGCTGTTTCTTTCATGTCAGAAATGTCAGATGTGCTTGCAGTCTGCCTATGGATCTACTATTTTTCCAAGCAACCCAAATGTAATGAGAAACTTTAAAGCACAGGCTCCGCAGAACAGTGCAGTCCTCTTTTCCCTTCTAGTCAGTAAAATTATGTTCTCAAACTTTCTGACTGTGGTAGTTCAGAAGTTTATTTTAGCTAATGCATTTTGTGAATGCAGAAACAGGAAAAAAAAGAAACCACAATGAAATAGATAACAGGATAAAAATAGTGTTATCCTACCTTCATTAGCCACTGAGTGTTGTTTTCCATGATGTTTTCAAGTAGTTGCAGTCTTTGAACTGAATCATCATAGTCTAAAGGTGCATCCCTTTGCACTGCATTGGACACATAAGAAGTCGAAGACCGGCAGTTGTCCATCTCAGGCAAAAGGAAGGTATAGCTGCATGACCCATGCTGGACCTGGTACTGCTTCTTGCCCATCGTCTCCATGCTCTTACTAAAGGAGTTGTATCCTGAAGCTAAGAAAATACTGCAGCCCCAAAAGAAGTAAGCAGCCAGCTGCATTTTAATCCCTGCGGTAGCCCAGCAAATCTAGTGCTGAGGGGCGCTACGGGAGCACGGACCTAGTTAACCTGAGCTGAAACCGAGCGCTCTGCTGCCATGTGCCGTCAGGAGGAGGGCTGGGCTTTTCTACCCTCCGAGCTGGAAACGTCCCGTCTTCTCCCGGCCGCCGTGCCCCGAGCTGTCAGATGCGGAAAGCAAAAGTCTTCGCCGCCCCCTCCTCCCCTCGCTGCTGGGGACCCGGCCGCCGGGCTCGCCAGCCGTGAGCCTGGCTCCTCCTCGCCCGGGCCAGGATGTCACGGCCTCGGTGCCCGAATCAATCTCTTCCCTTCCCTTGCAGGATAAGTTGATAAGAGCAGGCAGACCTGTGGAGCGGAGCTGCTCCTCCTCCCGCCTTCGCCGGGGCCTTCCTGCCGGGCGGGGGGGGGAGAGCACTGGCACTGCGGGCTGCAGGGAAGAGCGCTGGGGCGCGGGGGGTGCGCGGAGCTGCGCGGGGCGGCGCGGGGCGAGAGGAAACCCCAGGGAGGAGCCGGCAGCGACGGGACCCCTGCGAATTCCTGCAGCACGGCCCCAATTAGGAATTTCCTAGACAGAGCAATCAGTCCCGATAGCCTCCAACTATGCTTGTAAATTATTTGTGGGGGGTAACCATCTTTAAACACGCTCTAAGCCAGCACACCCCCACCCCGGGAAAAAAAAAAAAAAAAGGTTTAAAAAAAGTTCCTGGACTTGTTTGTTCTTCTTAAAGATCGTATTTTATTTGTAATGTATTGCACTAAGGTGTAATTTCATTTGTGTTTAATGCATTGTGTAATTGGAGAGAAAGGCACTGTCCTAAGTATACAAAAGCAGGTTTGGGCATGTCCTTTCAAAGAGGACAACACAGGGGGGTTAATTAAAAAGTTTCAGTTAAGCACAGACTTTGTGTTTTACTCAGTCTCTGAGATGAATACTCTATTTTAGTCATGTCTTTCAGGAGTTAAGCGTTCTCAAGCCTTCTTAAGTCTTTTTTGTCTGTATTAAATGGCTAGCTTTGGAAGTGCTAGCGTTAACAAGGCATACAAATGGCAAGGCAGCAGGGACTGGAAGAGGGAAGAACTATCCAGAGGCTGTGCGGGCAAGGCCTGCCTCAGGAGGTGGCATGGGTGAGCAGCAGTTATGCTGCCAGCTCTCGCCAAGTCCAGTTCTGTGCCCTTGGAAGTGGGGAATACCTGTAAAAGGTGAGGAAACTCTAATAAAGTAGGTGTTTAAAATGGATATGTAAAAGCAAAAGGAAGCTTCCCCCCACTCCATCCCACTCCCATGTTCTCTGCAATGATCAGCGGTCTTGGAAAAACAGAAAATTACTAACCCATTTACCAAACCCTGGGAAAGAGTTGTTTCCACTGAAATTTTGGAAAAGTTTACTTCTCTGCTTTAGAAAATGTCTTCTGAAACTAGCGCAATAGGATACTGACTCCTGAAGGCAAACTGCCTGAGAGTTTTCCTAGGTCTGGATCTGGAAGCTATAGATTTTTCTTAATTAAAACAAACAAAGGGAATGCCATGCTAGTCAAGCTAACATGAATTACAGACCGAAGTTTCTCTTATATGAGGAGAATCCCAGCGTGCCTCAGCATGCCTCTTTTATGACAGACTTTCTTACACAACTTGCTATATTTCATTCAGTGTATTAATGTGGATTCTCCTTTTGAATCATGGGAGTTGTGTTCAGAGGTTGTAAAAAAATGCTTATAGCAGCTAAAATGCATGCCTTACAGTGTTGGAAGCTGTTGGGATTTCCTTATGTAGTTGACTCTGGAAAGGAAAATCTCTATACAGTTTTGGAGACTTCCAGAAAGGTTCTTTCTAATTATACTTGGACTGTGACCTGTAGAACCAATTTGTCAGATTTTTTTCCTGTGGAGTATTCATCTGCCATTGTTCATCCTTCCAGCAGAGGAAATGGAGGAATATGTTTGGAACTTGGGATACAGTCAAGATTATTTTCTACAAAATTTATATGTTTGGTATATAAATTATGCATTCTCCATCCCTTCAACTTTGTACTGCAATAGCAAAACAAATCAATGTGACAGCTACCTGCATTGTTAAAGACGTTTCAAAAGCTTTTCTCCTTTCCAATGTATTGAAGTCTTTGAAAGAATGTTTAAATCCATGTGAATAACAGTCTTTTGCAAGGTAGTTGAGAAACCTACTATTATCCGATGAAGACAGCGTGTAGGATTAGATTTATACACCAGATTGTGTATTTCTGGGAATCTAACTAAACATTCAAATTCATTTTTTCTGTTATCTGAGTATTTTTCATTAATTTGCTAACTTAAATGAGAATTTCCTGTTGCAGCTTGTACTTCTTAAATTGATCTGGTCCCTGCTTTCTTTTCTCTCACTGCTAGCCCCCAAAATAATAGAGCCCTCAATAGAGTAGTGCTGAAAATAAGACTGCTGTAGCCCTGAAAGTATCTGTCTCCTAATGAGGAAGAACTGGAGGGTAATCTTATTTTTTTTCTGACTATATTTTAATGGGGTTTTTTAAATCCTTTCGTTAGATATTAAAGTTGAGACTCACCAGTGCAGTTTCCTTCTTAATTATTAGACTTCTACCCCTTCTACTCAAGGGACTGTACATAAATAAAAGATTTAAAGGATGCTGAGAATTCATTAGACTGAATATCCATGAAAGGCTTGACTAAATTAATAGTTTCTGAATTACTATGAAGCTTGCCATCTGTATGCCACACCAGTGAGTCAGATCACCAACATAATCTGGCAGCTCAGTTCTGCTGGGTTTTGAGGGAGACAAGTGTCTCTAAAGGTTTGAACTGGAGTCTGTTTTCCTTTAGGAAAGGCCAATGCATGACCCCGGGAGGCCCTTGTGTCGTAATGGGGCCAGCAGCAAGACTGAACTTGGAGGCTGCCTAAGCAAGGCTTGCTGTATCTTGGACCTCCACTAGGGAGAACTGTGGCTGTATGAATACTGGAAAGAGAAACTAGTTCACCTTTTACTGTTTTTTTTTTGCCTGGGTTTGTTTTTTTGTGTTGGGTTTGTTTTGTTGTTTTGGGTTTTTTCTCTCTTTCAATGAATGAATGAATGGCCAGTTGCTATGGCAGCTGTCTGCTATTCGAGTAAAAGGTATGGAAAATGCAGGTATAATTCTTAGAAGTGACAACAAATAACTAACCTAAGACCTTTACCAGCACAGCAGGCACCACGAGTTAGGTGCTCATCCATGCTTCTCATCTAGCCCTTGTAGTAACACCTCGAGGTCACCATGGTAATGTTTTCCCCAGCTTTTCCTCAATAGTTCCAGGCTGTAGGGGCAGTAACTGGAAATCAACCTCCAACACACACACATACATGTAACTGGGAGAGGATTATGCTGTTTCCCCATGTGGGTCCAATGGACTCATATTGCTTTAATGAAGCGCTCTTTCCCACTGCCCAGGAAAGACAGTGAACATTCACCTTGCCAACAAAATAACCAGACATCTCTTTAACCCTTCACTACAGGACAGTGCCGTGTTTGGTGCATCATTTTGAGCATTTGATTGAGATCCTTCACCCTTTCTATCCCTCTGGGAGCAGCTTTCCCAGCTGTGGAGGAGGAAGTGGTCTTGTCTGCCTCCCCAGGGAGTCAAAGCCAGTCAGAGTTCAGGGGGAAAGAAAGTAGTAATATCTAAACTTAGAAATCTGGTGTGAAAAGTAAGGCAAGTTAAATACATTTCTGTCCTTGAAAACTGAAGGAGGAGGAAGGAAGATGCCTGCATACAGCCTTTTTACTGAGCCTCAGAGGCATAATAACAAGTTTGCTTGCATGGCAGGGCTTATTGCAGAAAAGCTGAATGACAGAGATGTGTCTCGCATCAGTTACGAGAAGGAACATCTCATTGTTAGATGTGTTGAAATAGGAAGGAATTTAAAAAATTTGGCATGGAATCTTATACATGCCAGTACGAAACTGAGTAAAAAATTATAGTTCAGCCCACTTGCTTCCTTTCGGTGTTTTTTTTTTCATGTTCTTGGTTCTCTTCGTCTTTTATTTCTGCTGCCTATATGGAGTGTTGTGTTTGCATTCATGAGACACTGATCCTGCAAACTCAAATATCACTGCTTATCCTGTGGTCTCCTGCTTGCTTCATAGCTTAGTATATAGTATTTGACATAAAATAGCAAATAGTGGCTTGGTATATTTAAAGTACAAATTGGATCTTTCCCTTTTTAGAAAGAAGATACCCACTCTACAGCACTCACCTTATAAGAAGAGCTGAAATATATATTTTATCAAAACTAAACACTTAGAACGTTTTGCCAGATGTGTTGCAGGCAATTTCCTTTCCTGGGAAACAGTAAATTCCCTTACTCAGCCAATCCTGTTTTTATTCCATACAGCATATGACTAAGCTGCTTTGAGAGAGATGCCTGAATAATACTAACATTGTCTTTCCAATTATCATTTTACTTACAGCTGCATAGCTTCTGTTTGTCAGGAAAATACAGAGATCTTGTGAGATCTCTGATAGAAAAGGAAGTATAAAAGTTTTTGAGGTAATGTAAGAAAATGTTGTCTTGGCTTCAGTCTGCTATCTGCAGACCTTGCCACCTAAAACTTTCAAGATGTTGATTTAGTAGATAAGCAAGTTCTTGTTTCAGCAGTTTTCTTGTTTTAGCAAGGGAAAAATATGTAATAAAATATGTGCAAAATAAAGGCAGAACAATGTAAACAAGTAGGTTTTGGTGCTGCATTCTTATAGGGATATTTGATCTACATATATAAATGAAAATTCCATATGAGAATATGGAACTTCAAAATCAAATCTGAGATGAAAAATTAGCTGAAACAGAATTAGTGAAGTATTTTGTATATTCCTGTTACTTAAATTCCTCACATTTTCAGTGTTAAGTCCCCACCTTTGGTTCCTGGTACTTTAATATTAGTTTATGGCAGTTTCATTTGCTGGCTTCAAAATATTTTCTTTCACTGGGACTATTTTAGCATGTTTCTGAGGAACAAATGTCAACAAGGACAAGACTTATGAACTCATAACTTAAAAAACAGGGAACAGTACTTTGGAACCTACTAGATTTCTAGTCTGCTGAAAATCTTACCAGTTTTGTGCTCTTACACTCTCTTTGAAAGAGTGGAGTGCCAGATTATTATGTTTTCCAATGAGACAAAACATTTTTTTTCATCAAGACCCATAGTTCAGTTCTTTAGCACTTCTAAAATTAGTGGTAATATATTACCAATCGTTCCTTCTTTCTCCACCATTTGCCTATTATCTTTTTTATTCATTCTAAACTACTCCAACCAGTCTCTCATTACTTCTTTCACAAAATATCAGGATTCCGCTCACTTTCTCAGTTGCTGCTTATTTCTAATCACTCAAAACATCTGGTGTAACATCTTG